TAGCAAAATTACAGTTATGAAGTAGCAACGAAAATAATTTTATGGTTGGGGGTCACCACAACATAAGGAACTGTATTAAGGAGTTGTGGCATTAGGAACACAAACATAAGAAGTGGAAACCATGGAAAGGTTAAAGATCTGCCTAGAACTTTGCCAAGTAAAATTATATTTGTAAAGAACATAATCCTAGTAAAGCTCAAAGCATGTTCCACATCCGCAACCAAACACATGTCCCAAATCCCGGCCCCACATATGCTAGGGCTGATCTTGGGACTTAGTTGAGAGTCCCCTTGAACTCCAGAAATACAACATCGCTGCTGCCGATCTAATTCTCCTGTATGCTTTCAGGCCTTCCCTGCTTAATTGGACATGTTGTCAATTAGCTGCCTAATCACTAGCTTTTGAAGATGTTCTTTCAGGTCATGCCACTCTCCCTGAAATACCTTGAAAGAGCACGTAGCACCACAATTTTTATGGGAACTCTTGAAAATGCTGCCTAGCCCTCCCCCCAAAGCAAAATATTGATGGATCGTGTAATCTACAATGATTTTCAGACCATTCAAAGGCTTATTGAGCAGACTGCTTAATTAAATTAGAGGGTACAGAAGAACTCCGTGTGTGTGTTCTTTCTGGAAAAAAAGGTAATAGACCTGGGTGAGAGCAAGTATTGCACAACTAAGCTTTTCTCATTTGGACAGGGGACATGGTCTAAAACAAACTCTGTGGACAATGACATAGACATGTTCTGTTGATGCTTATCATGTTTTTTGCACACTAAGGACTTCATCACATGCAAGTTCTCCCCCTTTTTCTACATACTTCTTAAACAGTTCATACACAAAGTACCCTGGAGCCCATCATATGGAACAGACAGACTTCCGGCTGCCATCCGTGATATCTCATCAGTGAACTGTGTTAGAAGTGTGGAGAAATGGGGTGTGAGGGGTGGGGTGGGCTGAAGCCAGAGAGAAATCATCTTCTGGTCTCCTGATGCACGTGGAAATGGGATAAAGCACTTTAAAAACACATGGAATAATACCCAACAGATTCACCCATGTTGAATCGGTTTAGTGATTTGGAAGAATGGGGGTTCCTATGGGCAATCTCCTATGCTCCACTTCTTTTACAAAGTGCTTCTGCATGCACCTGGAACACTATTTTTTTAATTAATGTAATCCTAAGGAATAGCACAATTGTAAGATATCACCACTTTGATTTTGCTACATTTTCTCCATCATAGTAATCTCGGCTTTTGAAATGGCACTATTGCTAGTTTTAAACCTTTTGGCACAACGGGTTGAACCGTTGAATTGTTGAATCTGCTGACCTAAAGGTTGGCAGTTTGAAGCCATAGGTCGGGGTGAGCTCTCACTGTTAGATCTAGCTTCTGCCAACCTAGAAGTTCAAAAACATGCAAATGTGAGTAGATCAATATGTACCACTTTGTCAGGAAAGTAATAAAGGCGCCCATGCAGCCATGCCGGCAACACAACCAGGAGGTGTCTTCAGACAACAGGCTCCTTGGCTTGGAAATGGGACAAGAACAACTCCCCATGGTCAGAGTTGAGCATCGCCATCAGAAAGCTGGAGATTAAAGGGGAAACATTTACCTTTGTTCTGTGTTTTTGTATGTCATTATTATTCTACTGTATTAAAGACATTGAATGTTTGCCTACCTGTGTATGTTGTAATCTGCTCTGAGTCCCCTTGGAGAGCTAGAGCGGAATATAAATAAAGTTGTTGTTAACTATAGGAAGTTAGAATGGTGCCTTGGGGCTCCTCTAGAGTAGTGGGACTGAGAAAGAAAGTAAAGGATTCCATAGAAGTGGTGTCTGTCATAAGAACAGTGTCTTGGGTCTCCTCTAGAACAACAGGATTGAGAGGGAAGATAAAGGAATCCATAGAAGTGGTATCTTAAGAATGATGCTTTATGTATTCTCCAAGAAAATGGTTGAGGCAGGAGGAGGGGATCCTGTGTGATGGGGTTAAGTAAACTTTTTGTCTTCTTTAAAGATGGAATCCCTTGTTAGATAAAAATCAGCATTGAATTGATATGAAAATACAGTTTTGATGGGCAGGTGATAACACCTGGGGAATGACTGGTAATGAAATACCTAAGAGGCATGCAGAAATCGCGGGGTCAGAATCATGTGAGGTTTATGACAAGGAGTTGCATCAGTCATTGGTCCCCTACTGATGACCAGTCAGCAGGTGGTTATAAAAAGGAGATAAGATGATCAATCTCTCTCTTTCTGTGTGAACACATCATGAATATCTGTCTATGAGGATTGTTTGTAAGCACAAATCTGATTGTGGATCTGCATATCCTGATTATACAGCTGTAAATAGTGCAACAGTGAAGATTAAAGCCTCCTAATATTTTTGGATGAAAACTGAATCTGTGAGTTTACTAACTGACTGACTAAAAAATGTTTGTTGCTGTGAATGGACTGTGCTAGGTTTTGCTTGCTTCTGTGGCACGTGCTTGTCCAGTGTGCAGCGATTCCAGGAAAGCTGTGATTGGAAAACTATAAGTCACTTTCCAAACCTATCTCGTGACATCCCTCACAAAGGAGATACTTCCACACACAAAGAAAATGATTTCCCCTGCTTTCTCCAGTTCCAGCTGATGAGCTCCTAGATTTGTTTATGTTGACCTTTATTCAGAAACGGAGCTGAATATATTACATGGATTTAATCACCAGCAGCTTGAAAATATCCTCAAACAAGCTGGGCTTTAGCACAGCAGGTTAACTGCCAGCTGCAGTAAATCTTGCCAACTGAAAGGTTGGCAGTTTGAAGCCTGCGTCAGGGTGAGCTCCTGGCCTTTAGCACAGCTTCTGCCTACCTAGCAGTTCAAAAGCAAATGTGAGTAAATAAATAGGTACCACTTTAAAGCGGGGAGGTATTTAAGGCACCCAAAGGGAAATGCTAGAAAAAAACCAGCAATTCAGTCAAGGAGGAAGTTTCCAAACAAAGCTCTTTGGCAGGGAAGACAGTGTGACAACAATGAGGAAGACTGAAACAAGCTAGGAGAAGCTACTAGAGTTTATTTTGTGCCTGAGTCTACTGGGGAAGGCATGCTCCTCTCCCCCATTGATTTAACTGTGGTCAAAGAAATTCTGGATTTTGAATTCAATTTGCTTCTTTTGGAAAATGGAAATCTCCATAATCTTTTGGAGATTTTATGACCTTTGGAAAGGCATGACCTTATTAGAAGTCACAATATTTCGATTAATGAAGCCATAATCTCTTGGTCAAAGCATCACCAGTTAAGAGTGATGCTTTTGGGAAAATGGCATTCATGAAAGGCAATTATGTTTCTCAGCTGTTAGACTGACACCCTAAATATGTCTTTGAACTGTTAGAGACAAAGATATGCCAATGTACAAAAAAACAGATAGATATATAGATAGATAGCAGAGTTTCAGAAGTGTTCTTTTAGTTGCCCAAAAACATCTACTCTCCCTTAAAATATCTTTGCCTTTAAATCATGCTCTCAAGAGACAAAAATAAGCAGATTTCTTTAAAAGTAACATAGTTGGTTTACTCACAAACTTCATGTATTCAGCATACAGGTACTTTGCATATCAATCCAGTTATAAATAGGTTTGAAGTCGTTTCTCTGTGTAGGTAACACTGGGCATCTTTCTTAGAATCAATAGTCCAAAGTATCTCTCTGTTCTGAGAGTCTAACAGAGTTTCTGTCTGGTCTGAAAGTCCAGTGGAGTCTGTAAGCATACTTTTCCTGCTGGCATCTGAAAGTATACTGTTTCTAAAATAGAGTCTGAGTCCTGAACAAGCCCAGATCTGATCACATGGTCTGCAGCCCCTCACACAACAAAGAGTTAAGGTCAAATTGCATACCAATATACAATAGAGTAAGCAATTTTAATTATATACATAACAAATAATTAGTGGAGGTTTGAAGAAGGTTGCTATTTTCAACAGTCTCAGTTGCAGTAAACTGAACTCAATTTGCCTCAGCTGAACTACAGTGAGGATTAAGATGTCAAATAGGAGTAGAGGAGAGAAAGTAGCTGCAAAGGAGGAAAACAAGGATTAATTGGGACCGTCTCTACCAAATTGGGATGGTTGGAGGCTATGTCCGTCTGCTGTTTCTTTGGTAAGATGTTTCACTCTGTTCCTGTTTGAAGCTACTATTTGATAAATGTGCATGATAAAATTGTAGTTGCTCATTTCTGGCACTTGCTCTCTGGAAATGGAACATGAAGCAGTACCTACCATATGTTCATTTTTGAGATTTTGATAGCTGTACCCTGGGACCACAGTCTGTTGAGAAATCATGACTCATTGGACTTCAAAGAGTTCAGACCATGGCAGTAGGGTGACTTACACAATATGTATTTCCTTCTTAAACACTGTGGCTTAGTTTACACAATTATTTTGCACATGGAAAAGCTCGTATTTTAATTTGATTTGCATTCTTTGAAGCTTTTCAGCTAACTAATTAAATGCATTATTTTAAATCTGACATATGCAGCTTAACAACATTAACAGGGCCTTCCTCTAAGTCTCATCTCCAGTCCTGGGAAGATATGCCAATATATGCCCTCTTCTGACAATGCACAACTGGCCAATCTTTGTGACACATGTGTCTCCCCCTACTCAATGTTTTCATCCATATTTATTATTATTATTATTATTATTATTATTATTATTATTATTATTATTATGCATGTTGCCTTCAGTTCCCATTTTGACATTCGCCTATTCCTCACTTGAGCATGAGGCACAAGTGCCCCCTTGTGGGTAAACAGCTGCCTGCAAGATCACTATGTCTTCATTTACCTTTGCAATCAATGGGATTTTTCCTGTTGCCATCTATAAAAAACTTCAGTGTGGGATATTCTTGGATGTCGAATTCCTTTTTCAAATCTTTCTGATCCGCAACGTCTACTTTGCCGAATTGGATATCCACAGCATCGTTCTTGAATTGCTCCGCGGCTTTAGCAAATTCAGCAGCCAGGCTCTGAGACGCCCCAGATAAAGCAATGTCTGCAAAGACATGATAACAAAGATATATGATTATTTATCTTTACAGTGATACAACAATTTAGCAAGGCCTTCTGACGCTAGAGGTAACATTGGATCCATATCTGATTTTAGGCTGAACTATACAAAGTGCTGTACCTAATCCACAGAACAAGTTCAATAGTAGTTTACTTCTATTTTATGTATGTTTTAAACTAGATTGTAACCATTTTAATATGTAAGCTGCTTTGAGTCCCAATTTTGTGAGAAAGATGATGAAGATGATGACGACAACAGCTGGCCACATCTGATGGGAGTCAGTCTAACATCTAGCAAACCATAGTTTGCCTGTCCTTGCCCTGGAGAAATCCCTGACCTTCTCTAGCTCTTTGAGAAACCACGAAAAGGAACCAAATCTGGCTACCAGTACTGAAAAACTCTAAGATCAGGACAGTAAATAAAGAACAACACTAAAAAGCAGGGGAATTACAGACAGGAAACAATCTGGGCCAGCTAACACCTCCCAACAAAGGATTCCCCCAGGTAGGAAGCAGCCAGGCTTTGAAGGTGTAAGGCCATTCAATGCTAATCAAGATGGCCAATTGCAACATTCACACTTGCCTCAAACAGACAAGAGTTCTTTATCCCATCCTGGACATATTTCCACAGATATATAAACCTCACTTTCCTAGTTTCCAACAGACCTCATAACCTCTGAGGATGCCTGCCATAGATCTAGGTGAAATGTTAGGAGAGAATGCTTCTGGAACATGGCCATACATCCCAAAAAACTCACAGCAACCCAGTGATTTCAGCCATGAAAGCCTTCAACAACACAAGTTTTGGGCTGTAGTTGCGCCCAAAATCCCCTTCTTTAAGGGGAGCACTGTTCGTGGTAAAATTGTTGGCTCTGCACTAGTGGGTTAAGGTCTTTCTTGAAATTGTGCATGGTTTGCTGACATCAAAGGCAAATGTTCTCCCATTTGGGTTTTTAAGAAAAGATGTATAGTGTAAAAGTCCTATTGCATTGATGCACTATTGCATATGTGTAAACTCAAGGCCTGCTGGCTGAGTCTGGGCCATCTTGGATTCAAAAGCCCTTTGAAGGCAATCATAAGGCTCATATGATCCCTGATGAAAATGAGTTTGACATCCCTGCACTGTAGCATTATAACTAATTTTTAAAGGAAGTAAGAGAAGAGAGGGGAACATCTTGTTCTTATATATTGTGGGAATTTAAAAAATGATGCAGCTCATGCTGTGACCTGCTAGAGAAAAAGTCGTGGAGAACATAAACACTATTTGGAGATATAAAGCCCTACTCCAACAACCACAGCAACAAAAACAGCAATCCCTTGACATATTTTGTCCAATCTGGGGAAGCCCCGAGTCTATTTAGGCTCCTTCTAAATTATTAAACAGATAATCTGATTATCTGGTTTAATCTGGATTATATTATACTGCCATATAATCCAGTTAAATGCAGATAATCTGGATTTGATATGGCCGTGTAGAAGGAGCCCCAAATAAAAGAACATATGGCTACATCCTGTAATATTTGCCCTCATCTGGAAAAACCACAACTCTAATGATTGCCTACTCTGATTGCATGCACACACACACACACACACACATGCAGTCCATGTGTCTGTGTGTTCAACTTGCTATGCACATAAGTGAGGATTTGGTGAAGTTATTCATTTTGCCAGCATATGTTGATGGTCTGAAAATGGTAGTGCTTGATGTGTGACTTATTAAAAAATGAAACAGAGATATGGTGAGTAAACATCTTCTACCCAGCAGAGTAGGGCACACGTTGTCTTTTTCTCCTTTCTCTGCATTGACAATGAGCTGGACTAGAAGTCCCTTGGTGATGCCTTCCAACATGAGTAGAAATTAATAATAATAATAATAATAATAATAATAATAATATCACACAGTCGTAAACGCTTGGGAAGTGTTCGACTTGTGATTTTGTGATATGAAATTCAGCATATATATCTCGTTTGCTGTGTCATACTGTATTTTTGTGTCAGTAAAATAATAATAATAACAATAAAGAGGATGGTGGTGGTGGTGGTGATTCTCTGACCTTAATCCATCTGCCCTCTTTTATTTCATATACTTTCAGGTAGATATATTCCATGTATTGTTTTAGTTTTAGTTTTTCTTTGGCATATTTTCATTTTGAGAAGACTTTTTTTCTTTTCTTTTTTTTGTCAGGGTGGGTATAAATCATTTCTATTAAACATGCAGTAAACTTATATCCCCATACCAAGAAATGGAAACCCTAAAGAATGATCAAACTTTTGTACAGTGGCCCTTATTTCTCATGCCAGTAAGGTAATGCTCAGGATCCTGCAAGGTAGACTCCAGAAATACATGGAGCGAGAGTTTCCAGATGTACTGTATAAACTGGGTTTAGAAAAGGCAGAGGAACGAGAAACCAAATTGCCAATATCTGCTGGATAATGGAGGAAGGCAGGGAGTTTCAGAAAAACATCTATTTCTATTTTATTGACTATTCTAAAGTCTTTGATCATAATACATTTTGGCAAGTTCTTGGTGGTACGGGGATACCAAGCCACCTTGTATGTCTCCTGAGGAATCTGTATAACGACCAAGTTGCAACAGTAAGAACAGACCACGGAACAACAGACTGGTTCAAGATTGGGAAAGGAGTATAGCAAGGCTGCATACTCTCATCCGACCTATTCCAACTTGTATGCCAATGGTTCCCAACCTTTTTTTTTGACCAGGGACCACTTTGACCAGGGACCACTTTGACCAGGGACTATTCTCCAACATTAGTACCAAAAGGGTTATGAATCAATTTTTGGTCAACTTTAAATTTGGTTTGGTTATTTGGGGTGCTGATTCAGAAAATTGCATTGGATAGACCACATGAGCTCTAGTTTCTGATACAGAACATATGCCATCCAGTAGTTGCCATCTGTTCATCCACAGAAAACCATATTTAATAAGCCTCAGCACTATAAGAGGGTTTTGTGAGATCGGTCGCTCTCGTTGGAATGGTTGGGAACCACTGTTGTATGCAGAACACATCATGGGACATGTGGGGCTTGGCAAATCCAAGGCTGGAGTTAAAATTGCTGAAAGAAACATTAACAACCGTAGATATGCAGATGATACTGCTTTGATGGCTGAAAGAGAGAAGGAGCTGAGAAGCCATATAACAAAGATGAAAGAAGAAAGTGCAAAAGCTGGGTTTCAGTTAACCATCAGATGATGTCAACCAGACTGACTGATAACTGGCAAATAGAGAGAGAAAACGTGGAAGATTGATAGACTTTGTATTTCTAGGCACAAAGATGACTGCAGACACAAACTGCTGTCTGCAGGAAACATTTCCTTCTTGGGAGGAGAGCAATGGCCAATCTTGATAAAATGGTGAAGAGTAGAGACATCACACTGGCAACGAAGGTCCACATAGTTAAAGCGGTGGTATTTCCCGTAGTCATCAATAGATGCAAGAGCTGGGCCACAAGGAAGGCTGAGTGAAGGAAGAGGAATGCTTTTGAACTGTGTCGTTAGAGGAAAATTCTGAGAGAGCCTTGAATCACAAGAAGATCAAACCAGTCCATACTCCAGGAAAGAAAGCCTGACAGCTCACTGGAGGGAAGGATATTACGTAGAAGCAAAGGTGAAGTATTTGGCCACATAATGAGAAGAGAGGAAAGCTTGGAGAAGACAATGATGCTAGGAAAATGGAAGGAAAAAGAAAGAGGGGTCGACCAAGGGCAAGGTGGATGGATGGTATCCTTGAAGTGACTGCCTTGAAGGAACTGGGGGTGGCCACAGCCAACAGGGAGCTCTGGCGTGGGATGCGCCATGAGGTCACAAAGGGATTGAAATGGCTCCTGTGTAAAATGAGGGATTTTTTGCATCTGCTAATTATTAAAGGGGAACTCTCCAGTTCTCAGCCTAGTGACCCTATTTTTGGTGTGACCAAGGTGCTATTGCATTGCAGTGGCAATCTCCTTAAGAGCAGACAAATTCCAGGTTGAGGGCCTTCAATGTTGCACCTCTCTTCAATAATGCCAGCTGCCCTTGGAAAGGCAGATCCTGGCAGCTCAGGCTGCATCTACACTGCCATATAACCCAGTTCAAAGCTGATAATTTGGATTCAGAAACTGGATTATATGGCAACGTAGATGTGGCCTCAGGTGAGCACAGTTAAACTGAGGAACTCTGGAAGCTGGAACTCAAGAACATTTGAGCCTGGATCTACACTATCATATAATCCAGATTATCAAAACAGATCGTCCACATTATTTGCTTTGAACTGGATTTTATGAGTCTGCACTGCCATATAATCCAATTATCCAGTTATCCTGCTTCCACAAGTCTATCCTAATAGGCACTAACAACTGAATTTATGACATGTTTTTTTTCCCTTTTTCTCTACCCAAAATCACATGGAGACTATGTGAGATGCCACCCGTGCACATCTTCAGTTTTGCACACTTAGGATCCTTCCACACTGCAATATGAAATCCAAATAATCTGGCAATGTAGAGTCATATAGTCCAGTTCAATGCAGATAATATAGATTTTCTGCTTTGATAATCTGGATTATATGGCAGTGTAGAAAGGGCCTTGCCTTCTACCCGACTGTTCTACCTACAGAACAAATATTTTACAGGTGAAGCAGTAGTTAAGGGAGAATTAGGTTTAGATTTTGGTAAGCTGCAAATACTCTTTGGTCTAAATAGATTCAAGGCCAACTGTCAAAGACAGAAACCAGTGTGCATTGACTGACAGATGTCAATATTAATTATTGACATCTTTAGAACAAAAAAGAAATACTCACAGAATTCAACCAGCAGGTACTTTGTTTCATTCAGGGCCTGATCAAAATTGCTCTTTTTTAAGACCAGGACATTGTCCTCCTCCTTGATCGGCTTGCCTTTCTTGGATTTCTTCTCTGCTGGGCTGAGGCTACCTTCGGCTGTTCCCAAAGACCAAGAGATGAATGCAAGAAGGAGAAGCCCCAGAGTTCTCATTCTCTCTTTCTGGCAGGTTGCAGGCACCAGAAAAGAACAAGAAAGGGACCTGGAACTGACTTGCTGTGTTTAAAAAGTGCCCGTGGCCTTATCATTTGGCCACGTGGCCCAATTCCCACACGGTTTGGGAGATATGGAAAGAAACTCCGCTTTCTGCAAATAGAGCCAACCTCCTCAAGTAAGAGCTAGAGCTAACAGCTGTTTCATTTCTGGGCTTTTAGAAAAACAGAGAGAAATGGAAGGAGGAAGTTGGAAGCCAGTGTTTTGCTCCAACTGACTTCCTAAACAATAGGAGTGACTGTCAGAAGGAAGGAAGCAGGAAGAAAGACAAAGGGGGGTGAGAGATAACCACCAGTTTCAGAAAGTAGCCATACACTTTAGAAAAACAAGAAGGTGAAGCACGACAAGCCTTTTAAATCACATTGCTGCTCTCTCCATCTGTTCAATTAAGCAGGATAGTGGTGGCATATGAATACACCCCTAAGAATCATCACATTGGTTTTTTTTAATTGGACAAAAATCCCAGAATCCCCTAACTAGCCTGGCAATCCAGGCTGTGGCAAATGTAGGGAACTGCAACCCTAAACAATCACATTTGCAGGTTCTACACTATCTAGACAAAGTGGAATACTTTACAACAGCGGTTCTCTGGAGCCCTTGGGTGTGCTTTGTTTGTGCTTTTCCTGCATGGCAGAAGGAAGTAGAACTGGATGGCCCCTGGGGTTTCTGCTGTTATTATTATCATTATCATTATTACAAAGACTGGGTGGCCATCTGTTGGGAGTGCTTTGCTTGTGCTTTTCCTGCATGGCAGAAGGAAGTAGAACTGGATGGCCCCTGGGGTTTCTGCTGTTATTATTATCATTATTACAAAGACTGGGTGGCCATCTGTTGGGAGTGCTTTGCTTGTGCTTTTCCTGTATGGCAGAAGGAAGTTGAACTGGATGGCCCCTGGGGTTTCTGCTGTTATCATTATCATTATCAATCATTATCATTATTACAAAGGCTGTGTGGCCATCTGTTTGGGGGTACTTTGTGCTTTTCCTGCATGGCAGAAGGGGGTTGGACTGGATAGCCCCCAGGGGTCTTCCACTGAAATACTATTACATTTATGTTGGCAAAAATTGTTCTTCGAAAGTTTGTCCGTGCTTGATATATATACATTTTATATAATATATAAACATTTCTTGCAGCTCCATGAGAAACTTTATGTATCACACTTGAATTTGTGAGTGAGACTAGGCCAAAAGAGGATCATTCAATGCCAAGTAAGGAGCACCCTGACCGACACAAGAGATGAACTTTGCTTTCTGTGCGCAAATAACGCTCTCCATTCCCAGGCTCATCTTGGACTGTTTCCCAGATCCTGTCTCACTATTGTAGTAATGTCGAACATGACCCCCCCCCCCCCCCCCCAATCAAATTATACTCTAAATTCCCTTCCAGAGCTGTGGTAGAGAGAGCCACGGCGATCAGGAGTCAAGAGCCCCACGGAGATTGACTATGTGAATGATCAGAGATATGGAGGAGACCAGAAGCAGCTACCGGCGATACATAATGCATTGATCCTTACCCTTTTTATTATTTTTATCACAAGTAACCCCTCAATAAATGTGCATCACGGCGTGTTACTCTCTTATCTCTGACTCTTTGTATCCTCTATTGCCTCCTGTGACTTTATTCCCTGCCTTCACCTCTTGCACATGACTGCACAGCCCCACAGCCCCTGGAGAGGGGCTCCTTTCCCTCCTTCCCTCCTTATATCACTTCCTTGCACCCCAACTAACTCTTTAGCCAACCCTTGCTCTATGGACACCTAGGTCTCCATACACTGGGTCCTCCTCGGTATCCATGGACCCCTGTGTGTGTATATGTTTAATGTGTTATATTTTATTCTTGATATAAAACTCCTTTGGAGGATCAAGCCACTGATCCAGCTCCGGTAACCTTTCACCTGCACCCCTTGACCTCGAAGTCCCCTCCAGCGCTTCCTAGTCATCACAACAATGGATACAAGCACCCATCATCTCTGGGACCAATCCATCTCTATTGGCACCATAAACCTAGCTGTGCATTATTTATTTATTGTCTCAGAAGGGTATGGTTGTAATGTATTTAAAAAACACACAGTTTAAAAAACTTGGTATTTTACTAAATGTCCTTTAACCAGTAACTGGCCACTTGGAGTGCCTCTGATGTTGCTATAGGAAGGTCCTCCATTGTGCATGTGGCCCGGCTCAGGTTGCATTGTAATAAGTGGTCTGTGGTTTGCTCTTTACCACATTCACATGTCATGGAGTCCACTTTGTGGCTCCATTTCTTAAGGTTGGCTCTGCATCTCGTGGTGTCAGAGCTGTGCATAAGACAACAGGATCCTGATGCCAGGCTGCCTGTCCTTTGTGCAGCTACTTGGACATGAGAAAGGACATTTGTCACCTGGCATTTTCTTCTCTGTACTGGGATGACTTGCCCCACTATCCACAATGACATTTCCCCTTTCCCAGGACTGGATTTGCTAATCCTATAACTTTTAACAATGCTCTGTATGGACTATAAAGGACATGGGTGCCTTGGGTGCCCAGCCTACCTTAATGGGTCACTCACCAACACAAAAGAACATTCCATAGAACTCATGGGACCTAATGGCCCCTCTTTGTTTCATCCCTAGACTGGGACAGCAGTAATCCTCTAAGGACACTTTGCACTCCTTTGTCTGGATGAGTATCCTGCCCCTGCCAGACCTTGTAGAGCGGGAATCTGCATTCGAAGTGGGGGACGCTCTCTGATTGGCTGGTGGGTGCTGCACTCCCGCCTCCCAGAGGGATCCTCCGAGATGGCTGCGACGTCAGGCCCAGCTCTGCCAATCACACAAAGCCAGCTCCAGCTGGGGTGTGAGCGGGAAATACAAAAGGTTTCTGTATATTAAAATGTATGCTTTGCCTATGTCAGAATCTCAGCTTCATTTTGTGGCTTAGCACAAACTGTCATCCCTTCCAGCTGGAATGGAATAAAATAAAATACCTTGGTGGCTTCTTCTTCAGTTCATGAGACTTCTTGATCGGGGAACATTAGATTTAGTTTCTTTCTCTCACCAGGCACATGGATCCACAGGCGGCCCACTGGCTACAGATCTCGGTATTCACGATTTGGGTTTTGCGATCTCACTATCTGCTGCTGCTTTAAATTGCTCTATTTCAGTAAGATGGAGGCATAGTCCATATATAAAATTAGACAAAGGCTGGGTTTCTGCATCAAGTTACCCCATCAAGCCTTGAAACCAGTGGTTCTCAACCTGTGAGTCCCCAGGTGTTTTGGCCTACAACTTCAAGAAATCCCAGCCAGTTTACCAGCTGTTAGGAGTTATGGGAGTTGAAGACCAAAACATTTGGGGACTCACAGGTTGAAAACCACTGCCCTAAATGATCATGACTGTGCACTCCCGTTGTACAACAATTGCTTGGGTTTAGGGTGAATGTTGCACAAGGAGGTACTGGATATCCAAAACAGGACATATCCACCCAAAACCAATGGTTGAAGATACACATATCACCAATGAGGTTCCAGTGAAGCTGTGTAAACCTGCGTGTCAACATTTGATCTACTGTGACTTGATGTTACAGAATATGTTGTTGAATATGCATCCTGGGAGTCATATCATTTATCCAAGCACCATCACACCAATAAGCTACAAGGAGCTTAAATAGGAATAAATTGGATTAGAAGAGATTCACAGTACACCCTCTAGTTCTAGTTCAAATCTTTGCTACATTCAGAGTGTTTGAAGCAACTATTTCTTAACAATCCATTAATAGTAATCAATTCTTTTTCCCAAATAGCAATACTATAACAATATAATGTTGTGATTGTTACTTCATGGCTAGAATCTAATTTTTATCCTCAGAGGCAGACATGCACATGTGATGCCATGGTGTTTGAAGCCCATGGTGTTTGTAGCCCATAGGTTGGCCTTGAACATTTTGCATGCATTGTTAGTTCACCAATAGTTGCCATTTAATTTTGTTAGTCTAAATTTAGAACAGAGCACCTCCACCAATGAAGAATGTCTTCATGCCATTTGTATTGTAACTTTCACATGTGAAATACATTTTATAGTTATAGATGTGCTGACTCCCTTAAGAAATGGAGTGGAAATGTCACAAGGTTCAAGTGATCATTGGCCAAGGCACCTGGGACTGCTAAGAACTGAAGTCTAATTCCCTTCTATACTGCCAAATAAAAACCAGATTATCTGCTTTGAACTGGATTATATGGCAGTGTACTCATATAATCCCATTCAAAGCAAATAATGTGGATTATCCGATTTAACAATCTGAATTATATGGCAGTGTAGAAGGGGCCTAAAACACCAAGAGGGCAAGAGTTTGGGAAAGATTGCTATAAGGCACAACAGCCGTTATTGGTGTTCTCAATGACAAACTGTCATTGAAAATGACCCACAACCTTCTTATCATTAAGCACACAATATGCCTCACAGAAATAGGCCTGTGCACAGCAGTCTTACCGCATATACAAAGCTTCTTATACAATGAACAGGAGTAAGCTTTACGAGTGCAGCAAATCTCCTGAAGAAAGGACATGAGTTACGGTATCTTAGCTTGCAGTTTCTCAAGTCGTTCCTGACACGGGGAAAAAAGCTTAGCTTTGCTTGTACTTGTTCCACGGTTTCAAATAGTTCTAATAGAAAAGGAGACTCTGGGAGCATAAGTGAGTGTCTGAAAGACTCAGTCTATACTGCCATATAATCCAGTTCAAATCAGATAATCTGTGTGGAAGGCGCCATCCTCAAAGAACTGCCCTTCTGAGCTGTTCCGAGTGGTCTTCTGCATTCGTCACCAAGTAGGAATGTTCATAACGTCCGAACAGGTTTATACAGAAGGATGCAGTCGCATAAATAGGCAGGACCTGAGTCGTGCAAAGCCATGCATAAATCAGATAAATCTGGATTTCATTTAGCAGTGTAGATGGGATCTCACTGAATGCAGTCAGAATCCAAAATGACTTTGGCAGGAGTGCATTATAGGATGATAAGACTAGCAAGTTTACAACTCTTATACATATATATAAAAATACTCTGTTTGTTTTGAGTGACATCATAACTCAAAAACCTCTTGACTAATTGCCATCAAATTTGGCCACAAGACACCTACTAACCGAAGGAGTGACCATCACTCTAAAAAAATTGATTTTGTCATTTGG